TTGATAAGGAAATCGAAGGCTTGTTATTTTTCGTTGTTAATAATATTAAAGATGTAATTAAGAATAGAATTAATATTAGTAATATTTGAAATTTGGTAAAAGGGTTAATTAAAACGATTAGTATTATATATATTATCGACGATTATAACTTTAAGGAACCGTTTAACTATATAGAGATAGCGTAGGAATATAAATATAATACTAAGTAACTTTATTTTGTCATTAAGATCTATTTTCTTAATATAGTCAATATCGTTATTATTAAATACTTTAAGGAGGGTACTAGTAAGGGTATAACCGTTAAGGTTACGCCGGCGAAAATAAATGCGCGCGTTATAAATATTTTTGTTTATATATATTATATTTGGGTATTTATTCTATACAATAATAGTAATTTCACGAGCTCGTATAATATTTATTTTAGAATTTTCTTCGATAGTATTAAATATATCGGGCTTTAATTTACGGTATTGAAAGTAGGTAGAAGGGTAGTATAACCGTATATAATTATATTTTCGGTAACTGAAATTATAATATAAATAAAAATTATTAGAATCCATCTTCTAAATGTTTCTTTATAATAGCCTTCTAGTTATAACCATATTTCTGTAATACCGTTTTTCGAACCGTTACTTTTAATTTACCCAGCTAATTAAACTGGTTATAGAAGAAATAGTATTATATATATTCGCTAACTGGCATTCTAGGTTTTATACTATAACTATTTCTATAATCAACCGCAAAACTATAGTACTTTGCCAAACGTTAACCGCTTCGTAAAAGTCTTGAATCGTTGTATATAAAAGTATAGCATTAACGGGTAAATTAATAATTATATTCTTATAATTAATAATAATACTCTCCTCCTTTAAATTAAAATTAGAATTATTCTCTTACTAGGGTAATTATATTAAAGGAAGCGGATTAGAATTATAATTAAATTTACTATCGGAATTAGAATTGCTATTAATAAGAATATCATTATTAAAGAAGCCTTCTTATTCTTTAATATTAATAAAAGGATTACTATCGCTATTATTAACCATATTACTATTAATATCGTCGATTTGGGTAAGGTCGATAGTTGCGCCGTTATTTGGATTTTACAACGGTATTTTGAGAATTTTATATATAATATGTATAATATTATATAATTTTAAGAAAATTAATAAACGGTTACAATAATTAATATAATTAATATTTACGTACCTGCGGTCGACTTTAACCTATTCTAGTAATAAAAGGTAATTTAATTATAAAGAGAGAATTGAAAGAAGGTTAGGTTAAAAGGCATATTCAAAATCACTAAATCTAAAAATAAGGGTCATACACATAGGGTCTACTAGTTGACTGGGCTTGGTACTATTTCACACGGGAAGGCTATTATACAATTATTATCTAGTTAAAATAAACCGCTATAAAAAATTATGTGCACGTTAAACCCTAACCCGATTGGGGCCTCTATAAGGGTTGGGGCCTCTATAGCCAAAGGCTGGGGCCGCCGGAGCAAATGCCAAACTTGCATGCGAGGTGGATTTTCGCTTCGACCCTTCGTTTTGGGAGCCAGAACTGTCCAGCTCGTTCAAGTTGTTTCAATGTTGCGAGCTTTGTGATATCGCCAGTCCGTGGTATCGTTGAGTCGAGAGTCACTGATAGGCAATGATGGGTGACCATCGAAAAAGAACCTCAACGGAGAATCCCGAATAACTTTTGAGCGAGCTTGGCGCTCTTGAACTGCCAAGTTCGTTGTCAATTGGTTGCGTCTGTCAATGGGGGGCGACGGCCCGAGGACGAAGCTTTGCCAAGTCGTGTTTCAACGAAGTGCATCGTTGTCGAAGCGACAGGGTCTGTCAGGTCGCGTGGGTCGGGTGTTTCGCGCAATGTCAAAAACCCAGCGGCCGACGGATCGAACGAGACAGTTCCAGAACGAGAAGAACGAGAAGCCAACGTGCTGAGGTCAAGGTGGAATTTCAATGGGCCTTGAACACAAAATTTTTCAATGATCTCGATCGCTTGATCGCGTCCGAGAAAAGCGAGAGAAAAGGGCCGCAGCGCAATTGCAACAGTCTTCACCGCCGTGTGGGGGATTTGTAGAATCTCGAAAACATCGGGATCTGGTGTGGCGGAGTCTTTGACGTGCATTGACAAGATCCGGTAGCAGGATTTCGAGCCGACTAGAGCGACTGTGTAACTGCCTAGCGCGACTGTGTGGGGCCATACAAATTTGAAAGCTCCGGCACGGGCCTCAGCTCCAAAGCTGGCATCAAACCTGCGCGGCCAAAGTCATGACAACCATCACCGGAAGTTTTCATTCTAAACGATAATAACGAAAGCTCAAAACTACATCTTTTCGAACGCCGAATTTACATTCACACGCGGGGGCCCCTCACCGGCCCCCTGCACCCCCGGAACTAACCCTGACTAACCCTAACACCTAACCCTAACCGCTAACCCTAACACTAACCTTAGGGTCTTTGGATGCGACTTACACCTTATCTCCACACAGTCGCGCTAGGCAGTTACACAGTCGCTCTAATCACCTCGCAGGATTTGGTTTCATCTGATGGTGATCTGTCGACATGTTGGAGATTCGAGTTTTGGCTTGGATTGGAAAGATCTCAAAACAATTGCTCCAGTGTCGGAGACCCGGAGTGCCTGGTGCCGGTCATTGGTCAGATCACGTGAGCGCGAACACATGCCATACTACCATATCCGAACCGTTCCACTTGGTTCGCTCGGGTCCACTCGCTGTCGCGAAGACGGAGTTTTTTCCGTCGTTGGAAATTGCAAGGACCCCTCCATCACCCAGACCCTTACGCCATCGTACGTGATGGGCTCCATCATCGCTCCACGGCGAACATTTGGATTGTCATATGCAAAGCCTTCAATCAGTCATTGACTATACGACCAGAATATTCACAGCTTGCCACAAAGGCCCAAACGATGAAAGAGAAAAGACCGCAACGAGAAAGTCTTGTGCATCAAACCCCCACGCCGAATGGACAAGCCGACCAAACTGCGACCAAAGCACAAGAAGAACACTAATGCAATGCATGGAATTTGGACGAACATTGCAACGTGAAATCGGACCGTGTTCGCCAGGTACCTTCTACATAGGTACACTTGGTCGGGTGGGTTGGTCATGGTGCGATGCTGCCCCTGCGACTGCGTGTTTCCTACTACAGGTGGCGTGTCAACGAGCATTCCCATCCCCTATTCAATGTGATGAGCGCTGATACAGAGCAGCATCTTGTGGAAGAGAAGATTATCACCGACCTACACGTTCACCGCCGCAGTCGAAGAACACAGCAGCAGGCCAATTCGGCACGTATCATGTAGCCCTATGACACAGTACGGATTCCTGCCGAATCGCTTCCCGCTGCAAATCCCCGAAATCCGGCCGTGGTCGCTCTTCGGGTCGAGTGGATCGGAGGATCGGACCCGGATTCGACGAGCGGAACGGTGACAGGGCCGCAGGGGTGAGGTCACAGGGCAAGACCGGCAGGGGTTGGCTCCGTGGCCCCCAACCGGTTCCTCCCCGCAAGTGGCTCCTCCGTCTCCGGGATGGGGCTCTTTGACATCCCAGCGGTTGACATTGAGCACTAGCCAAATTAGACGGACAAATACGGAGTTGATGCCCGGAGGGGCCAACTCCGAAGTCATTACCTGCCCAGAACCCTTTTGTTGCGAACGCCGAAGCTATTGCCCGGGTTTGCAGCCCGGGTGGAACAGTACACCTGAAGCAGCCGCTAAGAGGCGCGATAGCCTCACCTCACATCCCGCTGTATCATGGGAGCAATGGCCTAGTGGGCCTCGAGGTTTTTCCAGCAAGTGTTGACTCACACGGTCAAGCGTCCACTTCCTCGTGGGATGCCGCTATTCTGGAGGAGATCTCCTGTATCAACAGTGGACCGAGAGGATGATAAGCTCGAAAATCTGACAATCCGGTGATGCTGAATCCAGTGATAAAGGCATCACCTCCTTCCTTTGTTGGGCATCAACCAGATACGTAGCATTCAACGCCCGTTCTAGCCATGGCGGTGACATTGGAGTAGTATCCTCGTCTGAACTGGTCGAGGGTTCAAAAGGGCGAATGAGTTCGTCGCGTCTAACTTCGCGATGCCGAGCCTTTCGGCCAATCAGCCCCTCTCCCTCCTGTTAAACTGGGGCCGGTCTCGGACGGTTCCAGCAAACCTGAAATGAACTGCACAGAAGTTCGACGATAGCAATCTCTTCTTGGCAATCGTCATGGTTCTGGCAGCTGGCTGCTGGGACGATTCTGACTTGATTGGGATGACCGTCCCTGAAGTCCTTGTTTCAAGGGGCCCACTATCGCCATCAGGGACATGGCGATAACCATCAGGAAGGACTATCAGCCGCAATGGCGACAGCACCTATCCCAGGCCATTGAGCACTTTTATTGGTTGGTTCTGGGTCACGTTGTAGGGCGTCAAGGGCGCACCGCGAGACGTGCTCGCTGTAAGAAGCGAGCGAGTCCAACCCCAAAGAGGAGACCGTGATGGTACAATACAGAAGTACCTACACCAACCCCTACGCAGCAGGCAGTACGTACCGCATAACCACGACGGCGAGGGCACGAGGCTCCTTTGTTGATGATCTACGCAGGGGTGATCGTGAAAAGTGGCGACGACCGTACGCGATAGACGACGAGAGTGTCAATGGAGATGGAAAACATATAATGTCACGGACGGGCCCTTCCCCAGACGAAAATGGTCCTCATCATTATCAGATAATTCACGCACATTAACCATCCACTGGGGGTTATCACTCATTCTCTCTTTCGGTCTCTCTCTGATATACCGGTGTTTACACCCCGTTGCATGGTAAACCACTAATCGGATCGATCGATTTACCCCTGAACCGAGCCGAATACCCTGAGACACAACAAGATGACGAACGTCGTCGACAACAGTCTAGCCCTCTCTCAACAACAAGCTTCCACTTCTGACTTAGTAGCATCAACACCACAAGACATCGCCATGCCAGCAACACAAGCAGCGCCCACGGCGGCTGGGGCGCCACAACCCCCAAAGGAAAAGATCCCCGAAGGAGGAGAGACACAGCAGGACTACAAGCTCGTCACGTTTTCGGAAGGAGACCCTGCAAACCCCAAGAACTGGTCGAAAGCGTACAAGTGGTACTGTACCATGGTCGTCGCCATCACCTGTTTCGTCGTCGCCTTTTGTTCCTCCGTCATCACTGCCGATGTCGACAGTGTAGCTCATGAGTTCGGCATCAGCCACGAGGCCGCTCTCCTCCCCATTACCGTTTTCGTCGTTGGTTTCGGTGTTGGTAAGTTTTTACAATCTGGGGAAGAAGATCATCTTGGGTTTTCTCCGAGATCTAACAAGATGATACAGGTCCCATGGTCTTCGCTCCGCTTTCCGAAGTCTTTGGAAGACAGATCATCTATGGCACAACGCTTCTCATGGCCGTTGTCTTTACCATTCCCTGCGCCGTCTCCAAGAACATCGGTACCCTCATTGTCTGCCGCTTGATCGACGGTATTGCCTTCTCCGCGCCCATGACCCTGGTCGGCGGTACTCTTGCCGATTTGTGGAGGAACGAGGAGCGTGGTGTCCCCATGGCTGCCTTTTCTGCTGCTCCTTTCATCGGTCCTGCTAGTAAGTTTTCCAGTTACCCCTTTTTCACCTACCGGAATAGAAAACACTAACCAAATCCTCCACAGTCGGTCCTCTCGTCGGTGGTTGGCTCTGCCTCGCCGGCTGGCGCTGGCTCTACTGGATCCAGCTCATCCTGGCCTTCGTCGTCTGGGTCCTCATCACCTTCACCGTCAAGGAGACCTACGCACCCACCATCCTCGGTCGCCGCGCCAAGAACCTCCGCAAGCAGACCGGTGACAACTCGTACGTGACCGAGGGCGATCTCGACCAGCGTCCCTTCTCGGAGCGCATGTCCGTCTTCCTGATTCGGCCCTTCCAGCTCTTGTTCCGCGAGCTCATCGTGTTGCTCATCTCGCTCTACATGTCGGTCCTCTACGGTCTTCTCTACATGTTCTTCGTCGCCTACCCCGTCGTCTTCGAGGGCGGCAAGGGCTACTCGCACGGCCAGACGGGCCTCATGTTCATCCCGCTCGCGGTGGGAGTCATCTGCTCGGCCATGTGCGCCCCCATTGTCAACAAGCACTACCTCACCCAAGTCCAGAAATACAACGGCAAGCCGCCCGCCGAGGTCCGGCTGATCCCCATGATGGTCTCGTGCTGGTTCATCCCCATCGGCCTCTTCATCTTCGCCTGGTCCTCGTACCCGCGCCTGATCTGGGTCGGCCCCTGCCTCGCCGGCTTCCCCATCGGCTTCGGCTTCATTTTCCTGTATAACGCAGCCAACAACTACCTGGTCGACTCGTACCAGCACCAGGCCGCGTCCGCGCTCGCCGCCAAGACTTTTATTCGTTCCTTCTGGGGTGCCGGCACCGTCCTGTTCACTGAGCAGATGTACCACCGCATGGGCGACCAGTGGGCCTCGACCTTTTTGGCCTTTTTGGGTCTGCTGTGCTGCGCGATCCCCTTCGCTTTCTGGAAGTTTGGCGCTCGCATCCGCAAGAGATCCAAGTACGCTTATGGTGGTGATGATGGTGAGGAGGATAGCCATGATTCGGATATTGAGAACCAGAAGAACGAACGCGATCCTAATGCGCCGCTGGTTCATGACCAGTTGGCGTTGGAGAGGGCAAGGTCTTATGTTAGCAACCCTTAAACGGGTTTTTGACAACGGAAGTCGGTCGTTTTATGCATCAAGCGCACGGATCAGTCTTTATGAGGGATTGATCCAAATCACTCGCTTCGCTACCTGAGATAGCACCAACACATAACACAAACAAACACAGAGAGAAAGAGAAAGAGAAAGAAAAGAGGATACATAATCCCCCTACAATCAGGTGACAGAGTCACTCACAAAGTTAAACCGTCTCCAAAAAAACCGGGGGTCGTTTTACTACCTGTACACATTATTACATCCACCATCACCATCAACATCAACATCCACGGCGACATCAAACGATCAGATATCCCCTTGTTTTGGGCATTTATTGCAGCGGGAGTCAAAATTTCGTTGGTTTTGAAGGGCGAAGAAGAAGCATGCATGATTTATGGAGTTTATGTTTTGATTTGGTCATGTTTTTTACGGGATACCTGATAACGGATGAGCTATGGAGTTGATGTTTACATGTATTTTTCTGCATTTTAGACGTTTTAGATGTTTTAGAGATTCCCCCCATATTTTATACCTACCTAGTCAATAATAAGACAACATACCTATCAATTACCTATGTACCGCATCTACCTCGAACGTGATTGAGACTTGATTGAGACTTGTTGTGTAACGGCTGATGAACTGGTAACAGTCAAGTTGTTCATCCGACGTGGATCGGGTGCCCGGAGATGGATGTTAGAGAAGGGAAGGGAAGGGATCCACATTTTGTCCTACCACCCACTTGCACTCCAGCGCAACACACCAACCAGTACCGGTACCGAGACATCACCACTACCACTTCCTTCCAAGAACGAACACACCAAAATAATCACACATAGAACCCAAGTGCCTTTTCTAGGAACAACAGATGATATCCCTTACGATCAGACATTTACGATTCGACATCTCTTACGATCCTCTTACGATCCATACTGACACGATCGCATCGCCATGCGCTATCCGAGGATCGACCTTGGTGTTGATAAGGGAGTTCCACAGTGTCTCTGTACTTCGTTGCGGTACTGTACTGTACGGTACACGCGCGGCCGCGGCGGCGCGAACGGGTACGTACCTCTACCCCCCACAAAGTGCTATGAACATGCTCGATGACGTATGGCCAAGAGATTTTGGTGGTCCCGTTCAAGGGAAACTTTCAACGTCGTGTATCACAACTTCACAACGTCCAGCAGCTTTTGTGACCAAGACATTTTGAAATGCGGCGAAAGGACTTCCTTTGAGACAGAACACAAGACAAGAGTCGCGGTCGCTTACCCGAGACAACTCGAACGGTCGTAGTCTCCTTTTTGGCTTGAGTGATAACGTCCTTTGTTTTCAAAACTCTATATGACGCCACCCCCTCAACAACTCGGACGTCTACACTAACCTAGCACAACATGCAGTACATGCTGATTGGACTCCGTGAAACCCAAACTCCGTGATATCATGCTCCCAAGGCGGTGCCGCACAGCGGCTATGTGGTTCATGCAAAGTACGTAAGCCGTCAAACCCGGACAATGCAACCTCCCTTTTGCTCACTCAAACACCTCGTCTTTCGTTTTGTTTTTGTTCTTGTCATGTTCGTTTCGTTTCGTTTTTGGTTGCTTTTTACTTCAGTCATTTTGACACTTACCAGCCTCAGCCAAGGCATTACTTAGACTCCCTACGCTGACTTTGATGACAAGCTTCATCAGACCTCAACCGGTTCTCGGCTTCTTGGACGGCGTGCTCCCAATCGGCCTGGTGGAGATACCAGAGCTCAACTGTGGATACCCTAGAAAGCACAAACGTCAGCATGCGTTTCGGCCCTAATGCACTGCAAATCATGCGCTAAAAGATAGCGCTGATAACCACTGTGAATGAATGGGTCACCACTTACACGGCCAGACCAATTGAAACTCCAAACCAGAGTCCTTGCAATTTCCATCCCAGAGCCCATCCCGTCGAGAACGAAATGGGCAGGGCAATGAGGTAGTACGAGAAGAGATTGGTGAAACCGCCAATACCCTGTCTTCCGATGCCTCTGAGAAGACCGTGGGATATCGCCGCCAGGGCATCTACCATTTGCAACGCTGCGCAGATCGGTAGAACCTTGGACACAATAGCAGCCACTTCTTGATCGTTGGTGAAAAGATACGGGATCTTGAACCTCAAAGTGCTGAGTAGTGTCATGTTGAACAGACCGACAACAATACCGCAGCAAAGTGCCTAGACAGATTGTGTAAGTCAGTGTTTCTGCGTAACCGTTTGGCCTTCAAGAGTCCGGAACATACCACTTTGGCGCTGGTACGCGCAGCGTCACTCAGTTTGGCGCCAATGAGGTTGGCCACACGCGTGGAAGCAGCAATAGAGAGTGGGAAAGGGATGTTGAATGTCGTCGATGTGACCGTGACCAGGACGCTCTGCGCAGCCAGATGGGCACTGCCGAATTGACTGGCGGCAAGTGTGAGAACCTCGAAAGCAAAATATTGAGCTTCAACCATGATCATGCCAGGCAAAGCCAATCGGATCATAGGACCTAGTTTGGATGTTAGTAAATTGTCTTGATCACACATCAGATGAACCTCCACTTACCCCAGTTACTGAACGCATGTCGACTCAGTCCGTTCCAACACTCCATACCCTGGACGAAGCGGACATAAAGGAAGAGAAGGAACGGCAGAAGGTTCTGTGTAAAAACGACAGCGCTTGCGGCACCCGTGAATCCCCATCCCATCCTCCAAACGAAAAACCAGTTGGCCAGCACGTTGAGTGGTGCACCAATAAGAAGAACGAATGTGGTGGCATGGAAGAGGCCTTGGGCTTGGACGAAGCGCTTGCCGCTCTCAAAGGCCGCCACTCCGGGAGTGCCAAGAATGAGAACTCGGAGATACATGCCGGCCAGTGCTGCGGTATCCGGATCGGGGATAATGCGGTTCAAGACGCCACCGGAGAACCACCAGAGTGTTGCAATGGGCAGGAGTAGAAGCCATAAAAGATAGGTCATTCTCTGTAACTGAAGGCCGACCAGCTTCTTGTGACCAGACCCGAATGCCTGGGCGCAGAGCGTGTCCAAGCATGTCGAAAGCCCCTGGACTGGAGCGTAACATGTGATGTTGGCCGTCATGGTGGCGAGACTGACTGCTCCGAGCTCCAAGCGCCCAATACGTCCGACTGTAAAGACACTGGTCACGGTGACCGAGTAGTGCAGCAGGAAAGTCACGATAAGTGATCGCGAGTACTTGGTGATTGTCTGGGCCTCACGTTGCCAGGTTGTCTTGAGCATGTTCTGAGCAACAGCTCGTTCCCATTGGTTGATCTCCTCGCTGATGGTTGGTGATGGCGGCAAAGGATACTCCTGAAGGAGCGGTGTCTCCTCGAAGAGCTTGTCCGAGACAGGGACCTTTGTACTGAACAGACGGCGGTAGATCTTCTTCCATAGAGGATCGTTGGGTGACCGAGGATGCTTGGGTGGGAGAAGATGGTTATCGCGAAGAAGACTGCGTTCTGCGGCGCGGGATTCGACAACATCGGTCTCGCAGACAATGGGACTACCCTGCATTTCGCTGGCGATGATGGGCCTGAGGGTGCCATAGGCGATGCCGCCAGGCCGCGAGACTAGATGAGCTCCAACGGGCAGAGACCCGACGTCGATGGGCGGTTCGAGATCTTCCTCGTCATCGGAGCGGCACTCCTCATCTCGTTCATGTTGCTCGTCGTCCTCTAACTCTGCTAGATCCCTGGCGAGGATTTCTTGGGCGATCGGCGCGGTGGATAGGTATGAGGTCCCGAGCAGGGATACTGTGTCGAGGAGGGTTTCATGGAAGTCCCTAGACTCCCTACGTGCGGCAGACCCCCTACGTCGCCCGGACAACTGAATGGGCATAGGTGGTGAGGCCATGATGAATGGTACTAGAGATCCAGGAACAGTGGTCAGCTAAGGGTCCCTAGACCTCGTGAGGGTATCCAGTGCTTCAGAGACGGTAGGCAGAAAGCTGTGTCCAGCTTTTGTGGTGTTGGTGAGAGGTAATGAAAGGAAGGGCCTTGATCGTCGGGATCACTAACCTCTGCAGCAGTGGTGAAGATGATGCAAACACTCGACGGAATAAGAATGACTTGAAGGAAAGAGGTCAACGACCTTGATATGACGAAGGGCAAGTTTTATATCCCGTCTGCACAAGGCAGCAGGGCAGGTGAAGGGATGGAGGGGCAGATCAGATAAAGCACTTTTGGAGCAAACAGGTTGGCCGCGAAGTCAAGCCAACCTGAGGTAAACAGAAAGTGGCGACTCCGAGTGGTTCCCGTCGTCACTGCACCGCACTCCGGACACCGATCAGCAAACTGGCCAAAATTGGCAGGAGAAGGCACTGTACGGGATACCGTCGACTGACTACGTACCTCTTTCCCCCCATCCTATAAGTTCACCCATCCATCTCACCATCTCACTACCACCTCAGCATCCTGCATCTGCAGTGCGCTCTCAATCTGTGCGCTGGAATCCGTCGACGAGGGTGGAAACCGACCGGGAGTACCACATTGCGCAGCATCGTTCGCCGGCAGGTAATCACCGTGATCTCGGGTCTCTGCCGCGACCAATTCCCTCCATGGGACCATCAAAGAGTGGACAGCGTAGTGTGTCACATCGGCAACGTTATTCCACCTGCGATTTGCGACGGGAAGCCAGGCTCTCACAGGTTCAGTTGGTATCCTCGAGATGGGCTTTCGAAACTCGGAACGCCGTCGCCGGCGGCTACCTTTTTTCTTTGGAGGGGGACAAGTCCACGACGGCCAACCGCTAACCGGCCCACTGTGGCCTGCCTCTGCCGTGGCTGCCTTGCACACATGTGAAGGTGGGATAAAGAAAGGAGTGCGGTTTCCAACATTCAGACGGAGTGGGAGGTGACGCCTGCCCGGAGTCTCGTCCAATGACAGGGGACAGGTGCGAGGCCCTTGATGACGGCTTGAGGCTGTTGTGAGGGGGTCATGACGATCATTGCTCGTTTCCCGTGTTTGTGCAGCCCGTATAATTGGATGATGGTGGTGTTAGAAAGGACCAAAGTCGAAAAGGGATTGAAGAGGATGTTGTCGCGCGAAAACAATACCTCCAATAATGGAGCTCCGCCACGATTGAATTGTCGAATCCCGGCGGCAGGAGCAGAGGGCGGCGGATGGCGAATGGAATGCCATTTCCCATCCTGTAAGTCGTACATCCCGTCCCCGCCATCCCGGTAACATCCCGGCCGTTGTTCGTGGTTCCGACTATCTTCTGAGACGAGACTGTTCACTGTGGAAGGTCGTAGCCGACCCGGATAACGACGACTGCAAAGTACGTTCCCACACTCAAGCACCTTGACAGTTGCCAAGACTCAAGCACCTTGACAGTTTCATGAGCTGACCACAAATTTTTGGCAAACGGACCATCGAAACGAAAAGAATAAGACTTCATTTGCCCATATCTCCACCAAATGAGGGGATGAAAGAAAAAGTGATTGTAGATTCAACATCAGCGTGCTTGAAACTATCAAGAGAGTACTCTTTCTGATGATATAATTGAGTTTCTTGATTTTCGTCTTTCGTTTCGATGGTCCGTTTATTAAAAAGTTGTGGTCAGCTCATGAAACTGTCAAGGTGCTTGAGTGGGAACGGAGTAGAGGTACAAGGCGCTTGTGCCCAATCGCTAGGCCACTTGCATGCATGTCCATGTACCTGGTGCAAGTTGACCCACTGTATTTCTCAGTCCTTCTTGCCTAGAATGGGCAGCGAAACTTTTGCACCGAACAAACATGAACCGTCTGCCAAATTTCCTGTTTCTTGTTGACGCTTTCTTTCACTCTCTCTCCCTCCATTTCAAAGAAACGCTTCCTTGGATTGCTACCCTTAGTAATCAATAAGTATGACGAACAGGCTCCATGCATCTGCAGTGGTCGTAGTGGCAGTCATGCTAAAATGTACGCGGTGTTGGAAATCGCCCCCATTGCCGATCATCTCATCACTCGGGGTTCACAAAACTACCACCCCATTATAAGGCAAGCGAATCACGGACAATATCTGGCCCATAAGAAACTCCAACTAACTTGTCGGTGATGCAACAGAGCGCAAGGCTCAAAAACCCGTCGATATCGGTAACCCGTGGCAATGGCCTTCCATCATCTTTGACCGTCAGCTGGTGGCATGCTGAAATGCAAATCGTCATCTGTCCCCCGCCGGTCTGTTAAGTTTTCCACCGCCGCGATACACAGTTCCCACAGATTCTTCACCGATTGTCGCACAATGGCTGGCCACCTGCAACGGTTGGAGAACCCTGCCGACCCTGCCAATAAACCTGCCTGCCACTCTCCCACCCTCTTGAGACCGATGTTGGCATCCGATGCTAGTTGACGAGGGGAAAGAAGAATGAACGGTGTGACGGTGCGATACTAATTCGAATCCGAGGGCTGACAGTGGCTTCTGCAGTGAGCGCCCCATTCCTCTCTGATGCCGTTGATGGGGGCGCAAGGGCGCAATTACAGTGGGAGCTACCCCTCACGAGCCCTCAGTCTCAACAACGAAGCTGTCTACCCGCCTGTGTCACCGATTGTCAAATGACAATGACGACCGAAGCGGTGGTGTGTAGGGGGCAACAAGTCTTGCAGGGGAGTAAGGCTTGGTAGGTTTCTATCGGTTGGTCGTGTGAGAAGTCTTGTTGGATTGAGAAGTCTTGTTGACTCTACCCCTAAAGGCCAAAATAATAGGGCCTGCAACTGCAGGCTTCTTAGGCGACCTTGGCCACCTAAGGAACTTTCTTACTATTTTACCTATTAGAATTTCAAGTACTGAGATAATAAATCACGGGTAGGCGATGGAATCGGAAAAGTCAAAGAACAAATGTCACAACGGGGAATCGAACGGAGAGTCACAGTCACGATGAGAGTCAAAAGAAAAGGTCTACGCGAGGAACTACTTGACTATTTGGCTAAAGGTTTAAGAAACGAGGGAGTTCTTTCCTTTGATATAGCCGGGTGGTGATTCTTTGGGAAGGAGCAGGGCGGGTAATTGAACTTGGCGAATTCCAAATGCAGGCAGAAAGTCCCAACTCCAAGTCTCAGCTCCAAGTCCCAGCTCCAAGTCCCAATTCCCAACTCCGAAATCCCAAATCCATGGGAGTCATTGGAGTCATTGGGAGTCAATGGGAGTCAATGGGAGTCAATGGGAATCATTGGGAATCTTGAGAGTCTTTGGGAGTTTTGAGAGTTTATAGGCACCTTCGGCATTCAAAGCATTTCATTCAGGGCACTGCACCAGGGCAGTGTAGTGAGTCCAGAATATTTTGCTTCGGGGGAATGGTGGTGCAGGCTCAGGGTTAGGGATATTGGTGGCAGGGAACAAGACTTCCCGATCCAACAAGACTTCCCACGCTTGGCAAGCCTGAGAAGACTTGGGGCCCCCTTGACTTTCCCACTACGGGAAACAGTCAGTCCGAAAATGACGCATGTTTCACACAAGAGATAAGGACTTTTTGACCTTGGAATCGAGCCATGGCCAAACGGTCTGCCCGGTGCCTTGCTCAATAGTATCCGAGGCGTGGAGTGTCGGTCTGTGTCCGGACAAAAGAAGAAGCCACCACGTGCCGTAGTGCGGCTGCATTCCACTTGCTGCCATCACTGCAACCGCTATGCATTCAAGGGCAGCTCGGGTGAGCCACTGAGAAGGAAGGTTTCACTGTTCAAGAGGCTTATCGATATCAGATCTCACCTACCTTGCAGTGACCGGACTGGTGAGCTTCTGCAGGAAGCTTGGACCATGAGCTCTTATCACGATGTCGCTTCATGCGCTCATCTTTCCTTATTTTCATTCTTGTTGTCCTATAAGCCGACACCGATGTGCTGCGCCTCTGCTCTCCATGAGCAATCTACTCGCCGGAGGAGATCGATCTACACGGTAACCACGATGAGCACGGGGGAGGTTTGTCAAAATCTACTACCCTATAAGAACGCGGGATGCCTTGCAATGAACCGGTGGGCTCGGATACGAGCACTGATACTGATAGCTATCGTGCGCTATGACTCGGATGCGATGAACTCCTCCTCACAACACAACTACACCATCATCTCTGCGCTCATTGGCCTCGTGAGTTGCGGTGTGAAAGCCGCATCGCATGCACAACCGATATATAAGCTTTTGCAGTTGCCAATTTGGGTATCCCGTCGGTGTAAATCGTCGGAACTCAAAAGTCCGTCGAGTTTTGGTGGTGTACACGACCCCCAACCCAAATCGAACCCACCACGCCTCGGTTATGCAGCACAACACCGATGTAAAAACACTCCGAATTACCTCTGCTACACCACCATCGAATTTGGGTTTGTAACCTTTTGGCCCGACCCTTCAAGTGTAGTATCCTTACTTCGGCTTCCAGATGTAGCAGCTCTAGCTATTTTGTGGCTCTGGGCTCGAGTGACCCGGAGGCCTCTGTTAGGGTTACAATCCTGGCATCTTGCAACTCCATTACTGCGCAAGGGAGTGTTCATCGAGGAAGCAAGACGAATAATCCCCGCGCTTGTCAAGAAGAACTCCAGTACCTTCATTCTCCTTTCATCCTCTTTGATCAATACTTCGGCGACTCATCCGGCTCCTCTAATGTTATTTGGGTCAGACATCCCAGGCGCACCAACCTGTTGATGGCCTATCACCTGATGGTTTCGGAGAATCAAGGACAAGCACACATTGCAGCCCAGACAGATTCATTTTGTTTTCATTCGAAATCTTTATTCTTTGACTGTTAAACCCAAGCTGAGCTCTTTCTTTTCTTTTACTTTTGGGAAAGCACCTTTTGACCAGCCTCCCTCCCACCCTATCGTAACAAAAAGTTGTAATGGACAAAACGAGAAGCCGCTCTGGTGAACAACAACAGAGAGGGCCTCCGTGAAACGAAGAGAAACATCAGAGGCAAGTCATAACAACCAGTCCCAACTAACCAACCACCTCAGCACTTCCTCCACTCAAAGTCCCAGGTCTCGCTAGTCGCCTCAAAGTACGACTTCTCGTTGCGGAGAGCACCGCGAAAGTTGATGTTCAAGATGCCAAACCCGTCATCGGAGGACGTGGTGCACGACGACCAGGCCCTGTCGGTGAAGTGGTTCTGGAGGGTGACTGCCTTGTCGATCCTGGCGGAGCCGTCGTTGGAGAGTGTTCCCTTGCTGGTGGCCTGTTTTTGTCATATCCATGTCAGTAAGTGTCCACAACTTCTCTTCCTTTGTATTACTTCTTTCGTTGGAACGACAGGACGGGAAAAAAAACTCACAGAATTATCCGCACTAGAGCTAAAGTAAACAGTCGAGAAGTAATCCAGCGCCGCGCCCGGGTCCAGCGTCACGTGGCCGTCCACGAACGTGTCCTTGACGGAAACCTGCCAGCCGGCCGACACGCCCTTGGGCTGCAGATGGATCTGGCAGTTCGCCGTCCGGTTTACCGTGTTGGGGTACTCGATGGCGAAGTGGTTGAAGGTGAGGGTCGGGTCGTTCAGGCTGCCGCTGAACTTGGCCTGCGTCTGTGGGCAGCCGCTGCCCGAGTAAGAGATGGAGTTGATGCGCGGGGTCCCTGCTGGGGACTCGGCTAGGGCGAGTGTTGTGAGGGAGAGGAGGGCGGTGAGTGTGGTGGTGATGGGACCCATTGTGAGTGTTGTGTTGTGTGTGTGAGGTGTCGGTGGTTGGCTAATACCTGGTGGTGATGGCCTGATAGTCGGTGGTATTGTGTTGAGCAAGCGGAAGTTCAAGGGTCAGGCTATTGCAGCAGGGAACTTTAGTGAGAGCTCTGGTGTTTTGTTATAAGTGGCTATGATGATGACAATGATCAAAGAGAAGGAACTTGGCATCTGAACAACAGGGCTTGTCACGTCCTTCTTATAGACACCGCTAACGTGATGCAATTTAGACTCCAACTTCACTTATCATCCTTCTTTCCCTACAAAATACCTATAAAAAGGGTCTAGATCAATCACCATTGTGACGAAAGAAACATGGTAGACTTCATTTGCCACGCAACGCACGCAGCGTAGATTGAGTGATGGAATCGTGCAATGCATCGCAGCATTTGCAGGTAAATGTCATGTTCAATTCGCCTGCCGGCGGCCGCCATTAATTACAAGAGTGGCCCTGATAGTAGCAGTACCACTCATTCGTTCTCCGGGGACCGTACTATTGCAATCGCAAACCAAACCCAAAGGAACCGAAACGCACAAAAACAGAGAGTTTAAAAGTGCGTTGAACCACAGTTTGGATGCGGACCTTCTGGGCCCTATTTATCCATATTGGCTACCCGCGAATCCGGGCCCCTGGATTGGGCAACGCTCATGGTCCCCTATATTACCCCAGATACCAAAAATAGCTTTGCCCACTACCACTTCAAGTGTGTGATTCCGCTATTCCCTGGTTGAGTCTAGGGAAACTGCAACTCTATATGTCTGGCCTCATGTTCCCATCTCCCCATATCCTCATGTCCCGTCCGTCCGTTCCCCTAATCGAGGTAGGTTCGGTACCTAGGATAGCTTGTGATGTTTGGGACGGCCACTCATTGGGGTTCGCTTCTTTGCTTGGCTTGAGGTGACCGTGCGGTTGACCAACCATGGACCAGGGGTGCGCTATATCGTGAGATGGTTTTGGGGAATGGAACAAGTAAAGAAGGAGAGGGTTCCGTGATCGATTTTCACGTCCAAAGATCAAGAGCCCTTGGTTATCGAGCAGTTGGGGCAATAGTTCAGTCCTCTTTACCGTCTGTTACGGCAGTTGTGGTAGGTATTTGGGATGGAAGCATCCAATCCCAATGGCACTTCACTCAACCAAAGGGTAAGGTAAACCATCACCATGGACTATAAGTTTGATAAAAATATGAATCGTTACATCGCTGTCTAAATGCACCTATTTATGGCAAACATAAAGTTTGAGTCTCCAGATAGATGCATCTTTGTTGCATGTTTTTCAGGGGTCAAGGGACGGCCGGACCAAGTGTTCCCACAGCACTGCATGCAACTAAACGACCCAGACAGAGTCAGGCTCATGTTGAGTCCCATTGAGTTGAGTCCCATTGAGTTGAGTCCTATTGACGGAGTCCCGGGGCTATTCAAGGGTCTATCAGTGCCTGGAACCCACAAGATCTTTGGGCCGTTGTTGTGTTGCAGGAAGTTAATATACGGAACCAAAGACGTCAAAACCCAAGCGGTCCTGTATTACTGTACCATGAGTGAGGCGGTAGCGCAATATCCCGCTCGAGGCCTGGCTCTGGGGCCTCTTCGATCCTGGGGTAGTATGATCATGCTTTTGCCGGTTCCTAGGTTAGTGAGAAGATGATCCAATGGCATTAGATGTACTCTCCATCGCACTTTATTCCTCGAGCGTTTTGCAAAGACGGATGGCAATGTGTGCGTGTTGGGTGTGCGTACCATTTGCCCCTCGGTGTTCTCCTTTTGCGGCCAGAAGCGGCATACCGATCGTTCGTTCAGAATTTGCCTACGGATGGTGTGTTGTCTGTGGATCGATCCGGTTGACTGGAGGCGAAATATCTCTCCGTCGAAGATAAAGTCTACATCTATCCATCCCCCTTTACTAGTGAACAAGTATACTGCTGTTGCGGTGTTGGTTGTAGGTAGAGGCATCATAGCCCAGACTTCTTAATGATAGAAGCAGTTATCTGAGACTGGTGCGAAAGAAGGTATAGCTTCTCAGTCAGCAGCTGCCTTCGTCCTGCTTTTAGATGCCGTGACAGTAATAGCAAGGCACTCCTATCGGAGACACAACAGTTGCCGTCAACCTTCACGGCAGACCACCATGCGAGATCACTGAACAGAACCGGGGTTCCATAGTACATCTGCATCAAGCTGAGGGCGATGAACAGCCGTCCAATCCTGGCTGTACTGAGGTCACAACTGCAGCACTACTGTACCGAAAGTGTTCAGGAAGGGACCTCGCCCCTGAAGCTGTGTGACGCATCAACTCGTGGCAACTTGAAATCCAGGACGGTTCTCGATCGACTTCACCTGCCTGAACTATGGAGTGACTGGTGGCCGGGACCGTGGAAAGGGTTGCCTGGGTAACCAGTGCCACGACGGAACAAATGCTGTCCTCGCCCCTACCGTGCTTGTTGAGGTTGTATCGTACCTGATGTTGACGTCGGATGGCAAAAGAGGTTCGTCCTTGGAACCAAAGGAAAGGATACCTAGGTAGGTACCTCTACTGTGATCCACTACCGCGTTGGCTCCCTGTAGACCACCGGTCCCGTTCAAGAGCTTCCTATTGTGATTGCGGCTTTGTTATTTCCAGGTTTAGACTACAGTGCCAGCCGGAGATTGAATGTCGTACTCAAGAGGTGCAGTGTAGTGAACGAACGAAGTGTTAAGCGAAAAGCAAGGTAGCTCTACACGAAGCTTGAAGGACAAATGTTAGGAGCCCGGCCATCTGGATGGGGCCGGGGATGCCGGAGGTTAAGCACTTCGTTCTTTGCTGTAGTTACTATTAGACAAAAAGACCTTTGCCAAGAGCGAGACTGAAGTCTACGACTTAAGTGTAGCTGAGACGGAAGGATAAAGACCGATGGACGTCAAATGAACTTCATTCGAGGGTAGGAAACAGTTTGAAGCGGCATGCAATGGACCTGACACTGACAGTGAGTGAATGCAGCAGGACACTCATACATACTATGATGCAGTGCTTCAAGCGGCCAGGTTTGTTATGAGTGTACGACAACGAGTGCGTGGAGTGCAATGTAGTGAATATGACCGACTTCGAAAGTGTAGTGAACGACGCACTATCCCGCACTGCACCACACTTGTTGAGCGAACGAGTGTCCTACTGTCACTCACGAGTTGCACACGGGAAAACTAGAAGCCGAGTCCGAAGCGTTACTTCGGAACTCAGCTAAATAAGTACCCCTAGAGAGCAATCAGGGGCACTGCGGGAGAAAGAGAAGGCAGGTCCTGGCCCGTCGCTCTCAGAGCCGTCGCCAAGAAAGGATGTATTCGACATCCGTATCGACTCGTCAGTGCAAGAACGCTCGGTCCCGACACCGATGGATTTAGAAAGCCGTTTCTAGCCCGCTTGACGAGCACAGTACTAACAGGCGATGGACCGGAATGGCGACGGGAAGAGCCGAGCCTAAGGCTGTGTTCGGATCCACGGTAGCCCGGTAGGGGCATAGTCCGCAGCTGTAGTATGCTTTGCACAGTAAGGCAACAATTAAGAAGATATAGTATTCGCACTGTGGCTCGTACAATGGAGCTCAGATCAATTGGGAATGGCCTCATTCACTATCTTTTAAGGGGGCGACGCCCTATAGTTATAGGGAGCTAGATACTATGTTGCGCTGAAGAGCGTGGTTCTTATTGCGTTCATTACAGGGCCTCGCGTATGTAGTAAGAACTTCGATATCTTCTGGCCTTCTGATTGGTCAGATGCATCTCCTTGTATCGATTTGGGGTAATGTAGCAACTTGTATGAAAATAAGAAAATGAATGCAATACGAGTGTATTAACCTACCTCTAGTAGAGGTATGCTTACTGCGACCCGAATACTGCAAAGGCTACCGTACTACCGCGACAAAGTGCTGACATGAACAACCAAACCTCAACTGAAAGAGCGGGAGCCAGATAAGACCGCGCGCGGCGATTTATGCCCTGCCCCGTGACCGTGGCATTGGCATTCCGGAACACTCGGGCAGATCTCGAACAGAGCGGGTCGAAGACGGCAAGTCAGCAGGGGCACGCGACACAGACAAAGTACCCATTCACAAACTCTGTTAGAAGGGGTAGTAGAGCGTTGAATTTTACCATACTTAATTAAGGATTGGGCTCACTAACAGAAGTACATTGGACTGGCTAAAATCATGATAGTGCTGGTTCGATTGTTCTTTCCTTGAGGTTACCTAGTTACTACCAATCTCAGCTCTGCAAGAGCTCTCTGTCTGTTTTTGGACACCGACTGCAGTGCACCACGGAGGTTACACCAGGCTCAGTCGTTTTGTTCCCGGTTTCGGCCCCAGATTGCGGCATCCTGTTTCCTCTGACGATGAAGGTTCGAGAGGTGAGTGGTCCAGTTTGGAAAGCGCAGCGAGCGAACCCAGCGGCAGGAGCGAGGGATCAATACTTATCCTGGATGCTACTCTAGGCCTAGGAAGCCGCAGTATGGTGTCAGATTGGCACTACTATACCAAACTGGCAAAACTGGAGCTCCGAATTTGTTGGAGTAGTGGCTCAATTAGCTAACCTATAATCTGACACACCCCCCCAGCTAAACAGCATTTGTGCTGGAAGCTGGCAATAACAACCCCTCGGGGACCCTATTGGGGTTTCTTTACGTGGATAGGCATGTCTATTTGAGTGGGAGTTTCGGTCGAAAAATTCGCGCCTTCAATGCGATTCGAACCTAGCACCCCCTAAGTACGAATCAGACTGTTAATTGTCAGATTGGTACTACTATACCAAATTAGCAAAACTGGAGCTCCGAACTTGTCGGAGTAGTGGCTCAATCAGCCAACTTATAATCTGACACATGGCAATAGGTTGGCCCGGGATCGACAGGTCCAACCTGGTACGTAGTTTACCAAGCGGAAGTTGGTAGAACGCGCGCTTCACGATCTACAGGAAGCCGGGGCTCGGTGAGTAGTATCCCACCGCCACTCAAGCACACTGCACTACCGATTTCCCAATCCAAGCACCAGAGAACCAGGTACCGCCAAAAGATTGAGAGTTTGACGTTAACAGTCGTTATTGTCATTCATTACTCTGTGAGTATGACTTCATATACCAACGTTTACCGTAACCAACATATCCCTTCGCAGATCAACTCCGATTCCATCATTATGCCGTTCATTCCGCAATGAAAGAGGGGAGATTCCTGCACTGCACAATTACGTGTGTGCAGGCTTCAGCCCCCTTTGCGTGAGAGTGGCCCAAACCCAACTCTTCCAGTCCTAAAAACCTTCCTCCGAGGGGGTATCCAAATCCGCCGTTGAGACCATACCAGTTACAGTACGCCATAGCGTCTTATAATCAACTCTTTAAACTATATTAACCGCCGCACAAACGTCAGAACATTTACTTCTTCTGCTCCTTCTGAGTGATGGCGACGCAGTCGTCACTCTCGTACTGGGGAAGCGCACCACCCTCTTCGAGCTTGGCCAAGTCTCCAGGGAAGTAGATGCCGTCGATGGGAACCGGGTCCTGGTTGTGGAGGTACATAAAGTAGTAGTACGCGCCGCAGAAGCCGCCGCCGCCGATGGTGTTGCCGATGAGAGCAGGAATGATGCCTGGTTAAAGAGTGTTAGTTTCTTTGTCGCCATCAACCAGCGAAGGGAAGACAAGACAACATACCCTTCCAGATGTACAGGCCAACAGTGACCCCGGGGGTGCCGTGCCAGATACCAAAGGGAATGTAGAACATGTTGACGACAACGTGGTCGAGACCGAGAATGGCGAAGCAGAACACAGGCCACCACATGCCCATGGCACGGGACATGAGATCCCTACCGGACAGACCGAGATAGGCAGCGAGACACACCATCCAGTTGCAGCCGATAGCGCGGATGAAGATCTGGTGCCATTCGGGAACAACTTGCTTGGCGTAGACGAAGTTCTGAATCAGCTTTACCTGTGCAGGATCCGTGAACAAGCCGCCATCTGGAAACAGAGAGACCAATTAGCGTTGCTCCAAGGCCATGAGTCCCGTCGGACAAGGAGAAGAACGCAACTTACAACCAAAGATAATCGCCATAACAAAAAGAGAGCCGGCAAGGTTACCCCAGAAGCAGATGAACCAATGCAGCAACATCTTATGCCAGGGGATACGGCCTTGAAGACAAGCCACACCAGTCAACTGTTGGACATGAAGTTAGCACCTGAGAAACAGAGAAACCTTGCATCTTCAACATCCACCCCCAAAATCACATACCATGGTAGAACCAGTAAACAAGTCGGCACCGCTCATAAAGATCATAACCAAGGCGCAAGGGAAGAGAATGGAGCTGGTAACGTGGACGAGACCAGGAGTGTTCTCAGACATCCAGGGAAGATTACTGGCGATAAGGGTGGCACCAGCGGCGAAGGATGCTAGACAGCCGGCAGACACGGCCGAGAGAAAGGTCTTGGCGGGGAATATGCCGGCCTTGAAGGTGCCCAGACGGCCGACGATTTCGATCGTCTCGATAGGGCTGTAGGCGTTGCCATTGCGAACCCAGACGGTATTTTGCTGATTTTGAATGCGAGCCATTTTGGCGGCTTGACTATCGGGTCACAAGCTTGAAACCGGTGGGTGTTGTTGTGTGATGGAAGAGAGGCGTTCCCCCGTATTGGGAACTTTGGCTGATGTTGGGACGAACTGCTAATCGTCGAAGGAGGTTCAGGAACTATGTCGCGCCCAGCGAGAAGTGAGAAGTGTTCGTGACGGTGCGAGGTTGAGGTGAGGTGAGGTATAGTGGTGTGAGAAGAGAGGATGAACCAACGGCTGACAGAATCGGACGAAGGTCGAGGCAAGTAGTCCTTCAAATGTATGGGAGCTAAACCGGAGAACCAGCCTAAAAAAGTAGTCCCCCAAAGCTGTGGATATCTCGTGGCTCCGCGGTGGAGTCAAGTTCCAACACCAGGTACACCCTCGACATTCGAGACTAGGAATGGAAGGCCCCATCCCTGTTTGCTGAGATATAAAGTCACTCCCAGTGGACTTTAAAGTCAGGAGCATGTTCATGGGGGTGAAGCGTCCGCGTCATTTTGCAACTCTGTGAACGGTAAAGATGGGAAATGGATCAGCACTCAGCTCTCACAATGGAGGCTCAAGAGAAGAGGGATAAGGGAAACTGTTGACTCTGGATGGACGCTCCTGACCCTCACGCTGCCGGTGAGACCGTAAAAGTCCAGTTGTTTACGACCGAAGCTGCCCGGGTCTCGTCCGTGGTTAGCACGGCAGGCTGAGGATCAGAAATCTGGGGTTGAGGCGCACAAAAAGTGCCATGGCGGGAAAATCCAATCTGTGACATCGGAAGTCCAGGCTGTACCTCTATGACTTCTGGAATGCGTGACCAGCTTTTTGAACTCGTCCCTGGCCACCCGACCGGCCGCTGCCAGTAAGTACCTCAACTCAACAGTGTATTCTACTAGGTACCTTGACCTTTAGAGGTTAGAAGGCAAAGTACCTAGCCTTCCTTCCTTTTGCTTATAGGGCGGTCAACATTGGATGTCATTCCAACTTTGGAAGTTTTAGTCTGATCCAATGTTTTGTTTACATTTATTCCTGGACCAAACATCCAATGTTAGGAGGTGCGTAAAAGTTCAGATGCGGCGCACCGGCCCTCGTGCGCATCCGGTCTGATGGTTCTCGGAGTCGGTATGAGCGGTTCATGAACAGCACAAGCCCCCAGCGGTGGCTGCTTCATGTGTCAAATGTTCACTTGACTATCCCATTTTTCTCTTTCACGATGTCGGCCGTTTCGGATCGCCCAGACCCCCCAGAACAAGAAGGCTCAAGTGAAAGGATCATGGAAGAAGGCTTGTCTCCAAGGGGGGTTCAAAATCTCTTGCTTTACCACAACAAGGGCCGACTTGGTGGGCCCCATCGAGGTGTTATGACTCGCGCCGTACCCAGCTTACCGTGACCCAGTTGTGATCAAACTCCGCCCAGTGGAATTACGACCACAAGATAAGTGTAGCCCCTTTTTCTTCAGGCTTAGCCGAAGCCCAAGGTAAACAAAGCAAAGGAGGCAACGATAACCTCCTTGTATCCGTTGGGCCGTGCACTTGGCCGGCAGCCGGCAATCTAGAGGTAGCAATGTGTTAACCGGCACCGATACGGCTAGGACGCGCGGCACTCTTTGCCCCCTGGAACATTCTGCGCACCAACAAGTGCGACGCCGACACGATCAACGGGCAGAGCCAAGTCTTGGTAGAGACGACAACCTCGACTGACGAGTCGACGACGAGTTGATCTCTGAGCAGCGCGGGCAGGGTGTTATCTTTTGAGCAATCTAGTGTAGAATACAACTAAGATGATTGAACGGTTGGATTCGTCAGATTCATCGAGGTTGGCGTCGCCGGCGTCGCCGGCGTCGTATCGTTTACACAGTAGCTCTCTGCGCATCATCCGTACTGAAGCCCTGGCGGTTGGCGGTTATGCGTTGGAGAGGTTGACTAGGGACGAACGGATGGGGTTAAAGGAACGTGGAGAAGGTCCGAGTGGAAAGCCTAAACCCATACAGGTACAGTGAGTGAGAAATCCCTGAACCCCCCTCCATGAATTGGCGACCCCCCATTGGGAACACCCCAGCATCCCACTCTGCGCCCTCTCCGCAACTTCCGTGCCGGTCGCCAGGGATCTCGTGTACATTGGCGGAGAGGGGTGTGTTGTCGACCCGTTGAGGCAAAAGATTTGGAAGACCGGTTGTCGGTGGTGACGGTGTGATGCCGGCGTGCCGTTCTTCGGTTCTTCCCCTCAGTACGTCGTCGTCGTCGTCATTTGTCCTCCATGATCTCGATCGGAGGAATCTTGCATTTACACGCTCCTCTCCCACTTGCCGCGTATAGTCCAGGAACTGGTTACCCGTGAGCGCTTTCTCAAAGTTCGTTGTCGTTCTCCAAAAAGCAAACGTTAGCAGGCAGGAGGCCAAGCTGAAGAAGCATGAAGGCGCCCTCGAAGGCCGTTTCAGACCCGCTCCGAGCACGGGTATCGTGACCACCGTCCGCCGGTGGACAGTGGGCCTCTCTACTCCTTGGGTTCAAATTTCTCCGCTCACCCTTGAGGGAGCGACACCGACTATTGGACCTCGGGGCGAGATTCAACCGATGGAAAGCTTCCGATGCTCAGCGCCTGAGCGCCTCCTGTTGGGGACCAAGGGCACGATTCCAGCCCACGCAGCTGCCCGACGTCAGCCCCTTACACAATAGAAACAGTCTTTTGTACCGGATGAATTGGAACTCGAAAGAGGTATCATGACATCAGAGACACGAGTAACGAACACCGACCGATGATCCCCCTTTCCAACGGCTCCCATGATTCCACACCGACCTTGCAGCAGCAGATAGCATTTCCCCCCCGGAACCATAACGCCAAACCCCAAAGACCGCAAAACACCCATGCAGTTATTTCGGACGACGACGACAACAACGACGACAACGACGACGACAACGACAACGACGACGACGACAACGACGACAATGACGATGCCCCTCTCGCTCGGCCTAGAAGCCAACAAATAATGAGGAAGGAAAGTGGTGGCGAATAGGGCAGGCAGACCGAGCCCGGAGCGGAAAAAGGCAGATTTAAGGCCGTAGCTTAGCCGAGCGACCCAGTTCTCGAAAACTTTGCCAATCAACGGTTCCGGTCCGCCGCGCGAGTCTCCTCTTGGTCGACGATGTAATAGAGATCATCCACAGGCGACGGCATGGACACCACGCCAGTACTTTCAGGGGGCCGAGACCATCGGGTGCTGACTGTCTCTCTGAACTGTCTCGATCTGGTCACCACTCCTTCCAGCAATTTCCCGTGGCGGTGCGCATCTTGGGTCCCCGCCGGAAGATGGCCTGAATCTGGAGAAAGCTGCCCCCATCTCCATCTCCCCGGGCTGTTCCCCACACAGCTCGCCCCAGATTTGGTTACCGTTACCCTGCATGTCAGCGGCATCGTCGAGCTTGTCGCAACTGGTGGCTGAGTTGCTGGGCGGTGACCGAGTGACGTGAATCGACTTTGTCACGTGGATGGATAATCGCAGATGAGCCCTCGGCGGAGCTCTGAGCTGGGAATCTTCACCGTCATCCCCATCCGACGTGTCGCGATGTTGATGTGACACTGTCCCACCAAGGGAGGTGCCCGTCATTGACATGGAATCTTGGTCTCGGTCTCGCTCCAGTTCGCGGCCCCTATTCTCACGTTCTTGCGTCGAGGCGGTCGACATACCACTACCACTACCACCACCACCACCATCGATCCCCCGGGCTTCGAGGTCGGATATTCGCAGCGCGGCTTCTTTTCGAAACAATTCATTATAGACGCGAAGGTCATAGTTGTCGTACTCGTCCACGCTCGACAAGGCGCCCTCTCCACCTGGTTTCATCTCCGACATGGGGCTCGTCGTGGTAGAGTTTGAGCGGTGCTGTCGATGTGTACGAGAGTGAGGGTGAGTAAATGAGTGCCTGGATCCTCGCCTACTGTGGATGCTTCTGCTGTGGGTGCTGTGGATAGGGGTTATCCAGGGGAGACTGGTCGTGGATGTATCGGCTACCGGTGGACATTAGCCGAGGGAAAAGTCGCTGGATAAGCGGCTTGAGAGTCATGATGCATGCACAAGTAATGGCAGCATTGACTTCTACATTTGTCCAGTAGACGAGCGTCGGCATGTTGTATGTCGAGTCGAACGGCTTATAGGTCTTGAGCCCTTCTGCAAATTGGCGGTTATGCTCGATCAGAACCAAGAGGCGGAGGACAGAGACGACGCAAACGCTAAATAAGTGGAAACGGTAAGTCATGATGAACACAAATACTGCCCCTTTACCTCGGTGCAAGGGGACGAGAAGGACAAGGAGGATGAGGAGGCTGGTTGATGCTTCTCGACTTACAAAAATCACAAAGCGAAGACTCCAACTAGGGCGATCTTCTGGCGCCGTGGTAGCTTCAGTCTGGAAAGAGCTGGCATGGGGAGAGCCATGATGAACAGATCGCTTCCAAACATTGGCGGGGTGGCAGTAGACTTTCTTCCGGGGATCCAGAAGTAGCTCCAGTCACAAAAGGCCGCGAGAGGGACACATGCGGTGCAGACGGATATGACATGCCAAAGGCCAATGGCCGAGACGGCGACGATGCCGACTTGAATGGCCCGCTTTGTTCAGCTGTAGGTGAAGATGCGCCGGTAGAGTAGCAGGATGGAGATTCTGGTGAAGGCGAGACACAGAGAGTAGAAGATGATGCCATAGAAGGCTGCCTGCACGTCGATGCCAAGTGTCGGCCTGGTCAGCAAACTTTTCAAATCCTCAACCGAAGGAAGGCGCAACCGTACCCTTTCCAGCGCTGGCAGCTGCAGATGCAACCCCGCGCCTCTTGCCGCTTCTGCATCGTGAACTGAACTTGGCGGTGATCTTGAACTGAGGTGGACCTGGGGAAAGTGCTGACTGGGCTCCGCTCGGGAAGGACTGATGGGGCTGGGGATAACGTACGCTCAATCGCGCTTGCTGATACTGCAGCGGAAAACACCTGCAAGAGACACCGTGACCATCAAACGTGAGTCCGGGGGGTCGTTAAAGAGGTCCTAGGTTTAAACCTATTTCGGACGTGCACCGCCTAACTCTAACTACCGCACGGACAAACACCAATATCACTTATAACTTCTAAGTCCCGTACGCAATCGCGCTTAGCACGCAAATACTACGGGTAATGCGCGCTAAAGCTGCGGGCTAGTGCTGGCCAACATATGCATTGTAGGCTAGTATTATAATAGCGATACCAGCATCATCATATATAACACAAAGTTAAGGTTGGGTTTTTAAAACTTTATATATAATATAAGTATAGTTAGAAGAATCTCACCTTAAAATATTAAATATTTAAATATAATATTAAAAGATTTAATATTAAATATTATAATTTACTATATCTAAATTAAATTTCGTCCGTTAAAAACGTTATTTAACGACTATAATAATTATAAAAAAGTTCTATTATTAAAATTATCGTCGTTATATTACCCTATTTTTTATTATTATATTAAAATTAATCTTATATATCCCAATACTCTAATAATACGGGAAACCGTCGGGGTAATTAATTATATAAAAGTAAAAAAAGTAAAATAATAAGTAAAAGCCCCTTAGAATAACGAAAAAGCTCCTTCGAATAACAAAAAAACTACTAACTAACAAAATTCTAATTACTTATTAGCTTCTATATTATCGTTCTTACTATTTTCATTCTCGCCATTCTTATTTTCGGTATCCTCCTTCTTAATATTCTTATTAATCTTATTCTTACTATTCTTATTCTTATTATCCTCCTTTTTAATATCCTTATTAATTTTATTTTTATTAACCTTATCCTTATTAATATTATCGTTCTCGCTATCCTCTATATTCCTATTATTATTAAAAATAATATTAAATATAAATATACCTAAAGTATCGCTCGAAAGAAAATAAAAAATAGTAACCTAGCAATTATTTAATTATTATCCTGTATATTTAAAGTTTTTTTACTCAAATTTACTATATTAGTATTATAAATTTAGAAACTTCTTTTTATATCGTAGACATTTTGAACTATTTCTTCAATAGCTTTTTATATCAAATAAGCCGAATCCGCTATATTTTCCGTAATTTACACTTAACATTTAAAGAATTCCAACTTCGCCTTCCTATATTTTTCTTCTTCAGTCTTCTTAATAATTAAAGTATAGGGAGCGGTATTAAAAGCCTATAGGAAAATAGCGGAGCCGGGAATTAAAGGGGTAGTAATAGTACTACTACTATTCTTTTTATATTTATATATCTCTCTAACGAAATTTTAACCTTACTTATAAAAGCGTTAATACGTTTCTTAAATTTTAGAATATAGTTTTTTTCCTACTAAACCTTTAAGTTAGGAATAATATAATATAGGATTTAAACGTATTGGTATTTATTAAATAATAATTAAGCTTTAAAAGTTTAATTCATATCCTTATATAAAATAATATAGCTACCCTTCGTATACTCCTAATAAATATTTCCCGTACCCTTTTAATTAAAATATTTGTAAATATTATTAATCTTATTATTAATAATTCTATTAACGTAAACGCTATAAGGCAAATTCCTTTCTATATTAAACTCTTTCGTCAGCTTCTTATTCGGAGTAAGCGCGTCCTCTACTTCTATTTCTAATCCCTTATTATTTTTCTACTATATATTAATTTTTAAAAAATAGTAGGAAAGCAAGGTAATTATTTTACGCGAACCTTCTTTAGAGTTCCCTTCTCTTTATTTCCACCTCCTTTTTTATTACTAATGCGTATATTATGGAGCATTTTAGTAAGTTTGAATTATATACTAGATAATTGCAAAGTCTATGTCAATTACCGTTCAAATTCGCCTAATAAGAAAATATAAATATTTATAGTAGCGGGAAAGACGCGTAATATAATAGAACTTGCTATATATATATAAATAACGTTAATAGAAATTAAAAAAGCGATAAGTATATAGGGGATACGTATAAAGGTTCGTAGTCGTAAATTTATAAAAAGGAAAGAGGAAAGAAGAGGAAGAGGGCGCAGCGAAGAAAGATATAGAGGGGTAGGGATTTCCTAATTAGGAATATTTATTTAAATAAATTTATTTTAAATATATTATAGAGATTTTCAAACAGAAAGTATAAATAGAAGGTGCAAATAGAAGGTGTAAATAGAAGGTATAAATAGAAGGTGTAAACGAATTTATTATATCGTTGACTATTATCACGAATTTGGGATATTTTAGTATTTCTTATTTTATTACTTATACGAAATATTAGTACAGGGTAATAGTTCGTTAATATGTCATAAATATCTTGAGTATTCATTTAAATATATAATTATATACTACGCTATAAGTTACAAAAATTAATAAAATAATGAAATAGGGTATAATGAACGTATATTGAATATTTTTATTAAATTCTACCCAAATATAGCACTTGGGTATTAATTGCAAGCGGCTATAATTAATAGTTGCTAATAGCGTATATAAGAGTATACCTTTTATTACGGGGTTATAACTATACTACTTACTATATTATATTATAAAATATCTTACCAACTACTTATTTTTAAAGGGTATTACTTTAGAAAAACGTTTAAAAACTCTAAGTTTGCACTACCCCAAATGTATATTTAAAAATCATCTTTTTCGCAGCTCATAAGTACTTAATAATAGCCCTATATAACTAAACACGTTAATGAAAGAGGACATTGAGAACAAGAATTTTTCCTGAGAAAAAAAAAAAGAAAATCTATATAAGTATTAGGGATTTTAAAGACTAAAAAAAAGAAACCTATACGGGTAAATACTAATATTAAAGTAGCGAATTAGTAAATTATCCTCTTCTACTCTATATATATACTCCCATATAGGTATTAGGGATTTTAAAAATTAGGAAAAAGAAACTTATACGGGTATTAGGGATTTCAAAGACTAGAAAAAAGAAACCCAAATAGCTATCAAAGAAATCGAATTAAGAAAGGAGAACCTAAAGTCAAAAGTCAAGTACCAATGTTAAAACAGCGAACTAATAGGTTATACTCTATATATATATTCCCAAAAAAAGTATCAAGGACCTCAAAGACTAGAAAGAAGAAACCCGGATAATTATTAAAGAGATTAAGTCAAAAAAGAAGAATTTAGAATTAAAACTTAAACACTAACGTTAAAGTAGCGAAATAGTAGGCTATCCTCCTATTTTACTCTATATTACTCCTAAGATTTAACCCGCGCGTTATTTAACAATTAAATTAATTCCTCTATCCTAATAGCGCTAATAAAGTTAATGCTATTTCGAATTATAAGGTAGAAATTATTTAATACCCAGTCTAATTTATTTAAACCGTTATCATTAACCTTTATAAAATCTAAAATCTCCTATACCCTTGCAATTAACTACTCATTAACCTCTTAAAAATTTGATTTATATTTTCGAAGTATATTAATAATATAATTAAAAGTACTGTTAAATAATATACAGATTTCTTTATAAAATTCGAATTTATTCTTAGCCTAAACATTAATTAATTAAAGAAAATAAATAGGCTATAATAAATCAAAAGAGAAGTAGTAGTACCAAACATAAATATAAAGTAATTACTAAATAACGAACTAGCGGTATTTATATTGCAGTATACTTATAAGGTACTTACTAATACCCATTAAGTTATCTTCGAGGTTCTAAAATTTCGGATTTTATAATTTAAAAAAATTGTTCCCTTTAAGTGGTAGTCGTTCGGCTATAAGGATAATATTCGGTTCTTTATTTTCTATCCTATTATTAAAAAAAATAAAACATTAGTAAACTAATAGGTAGAAAGATACGGGACAGATTTTATTCATTAAATTATTCTTTTAATAATAATATTTCCTAATTAGATATACGAATATATTTAAATTTAGGGGGTTACTATTTACGCCGTTATTCTTTAATAATATAATATTGCCGGAAAACGAAAATCTATATACGGATTAGTAATTTATTAAACCTAAATTCCGGAAAAACTAATATAAGCGGTCCCCAGTAGAATTTTAAGCGGGATTGCTACTTGTCAATACAGCGAAAATAATTGTATACGTTATTAATAATTATGTAGAAAATATTGATCAAATTATATAACGCGCTTATTTTTTACTTTAAGGTAGCGTTAATAATTTTTAAACAAGTATATTAAAATTTAATTATATTCGTAGTATTAACCTATAAAAGTAGCGGGACCGTATATTTAAATTAATATACTTAATACTTAATATAATTTTACCAA